TCGGTACGCGGGCCTCTCACTGTTGTGGCCTCTCCCGTTGCGGAGCACAGGCTCCGGACGCGCAGGCTCAGCGGCCGTGGCTCACGGGCCCAGCCGCTCCGCGGCATGTGGGATCTTCCCGGGCCGGGGCACGAACCCGTGTCCCCTGCATCGGCAGGTGGACTCTCAACCACTGCGCCACCGGGGGAGCCCTATTCTGAGCCTTTTAAATTCCTTCTCCTTCAGTCCAGGAGATAGGGTTGGAGAGGTAGGCAATTATATATCACATAGAGCCTTTCATGGTTTCAGGACATTTTAGTTTTTGCCTTAGCAATACTTACCACAATAATGATTAAGCAGTTTTGTTTGTATAATTGTTTTATGATTTTCTCTCTTGATACACAAAGCTCTGTGTGTCCAGGGACCACACTGCATCACCTGCAGCACAGTGTATAAACAAATAAATGGAGCTCATGGCAATGTTAGATTTGAACACATTTCATGTGAAAATTTGTTTTCATATATTTAATGTTAATATTTTATATGTCAAGATGTTTTTGTGTAAAAATATTAATCATCTGCACAAAAGATCCCCATCCCCTGAGAATGACATGTAATGAGCTGAATTAATTAGGAGAGCATCAGAAATCATTTGCCTTCTTTATTTGTTGGTCATGAGGACAGATTTTTGTCTGATTTGTTCATGGGTTTATTCTTAGCAGTAAGAACAGTCCCCGGCACAGAAATATATGTTGAGCCAATGGATTGATAAAAGTTAATGACACTCACAACTCAACAGGAAGAAAATAAACAACCTAATAAAAATGAGCAAAAGATTTGAACAGACAGACTTCACCAAAAAAGATAAAGGGTGGCAAATAAGCACATGAAAAGACCAACATTTTTAGTCATTAGAAAAATACAAATTAAAACTACAGTGAGTTGTTGCTAGATACCTAATAGAATGGCTAAAACCAAAATAACTGGCAATACCAAGTGCTAGTGAGGATGTGAGGCAATAGAAATCTCATTTGTTGCTGGTGGGACAGCTCGCTTTGGAACTTAGTTTGTCGGTTTCTTACAAAGTTAACCATACACTTAGCATATGACCCAACAGTCCTAGAAATTTACTTAAGAAAAATGAAACCATATGTCCACAGACACATACACACATAAAAACCTGTACAAAGATGTTTGTGAAGGCTTTATTCACAATTGCTTTCTTTCTTTTTTTGGAAAATGTTGGTGGACTTTGATTTGTGAATCTTTTTCAATTTATTTTTATTTATTTATTTTTAAAATTTTTATTGAAGTATAGTTGCTTTACAATGTTGTGTTAGCTTCTACTGCACAGCAACATGAATCTGCCATACAAATACATATATCCCCTCCCTTTTATTTCCCTCCCATTTAGGACACCACAGTGCATTAAGTAGAGTTCCCTGTGCTATACAGTATGTTCCCCTTGGTTGTCTATTTTATACATAGTATCAGTAGTGTATATGTGTCAATCCCAATCTCCCAATTTCTTCCACCCCACCCCTTTACCTCTTGGTATCCATACATTTGTACTCTACGTCTGTGTCTCTATTTCTGCTTTGCAAATAAGGTCATCTATACCATTTTTCTAGATTCCACATATATGCGTTAATATGCGATATTTGTTTTTCTCTTTCTGATTTACTTCACTCTGTATGACACTTCCTAGGTCCATCCACATCTCTACAGATGACCCAGTTTCGTTCCTTTTTATGGCTGAGTAGTATTCCATTGTATATATGTACCACATCTTCTTTATCCATTCCTCTGTTGATGGACATTTCGGTTGCTTCCATGTCCTGGCTGTTGTAAATAGTGCTGCTATGAACATTGGGGTGCATGTGTCTTTTTGAATTACGGTTTTCTCTGGGTATATGGCAAGTAGTTGGATTGCTGGGTCATATGGTAGTTCTATTTTTAGTTTTTTAAGGAATCTCCATACTGTTTTGCATAGTGGCTGTATCAATTTACTTTCCCACCAACAGTGTAAGAAGGTTCCCTTTTCTCCACACCCTCTCCAGCATTTATTGTTTGTAGATTTTTTGGTGATGGCCATTCTGACCAGTGTGAGGTGATACCTCATTGTAGTTTTGATTTGTACAGGATAGAAAGCCCAGAGATAAACCCATGCGCCTATGGCCACCTAATCTATGACAAAAGAGGCAAAAATATACAATGGAGAAAAGACAGCCTCTTTAATAAGTGGTGCTGGGAAAAGTGGACAGCTACATGTAAAAGAATGAAATTAGAACACTTCCTAACACGCTACACAAGAATAAACTCATAATGGATTAAAGACCTAAATGTAAGGCCAGACATTGTAAAACTCTTAGAGGAAAACATAGGAAGAACACTCTTTGACATAAACTGCAGCAAGATCTTTTTTTGACCCACCTTCTAGAGTAATGAAAATAAAAACAAAAATAAACAAATGGGACCTAATGAAACTTAAAAGCTTTTGGACAGCAAAGGAAACGATAAACAAGACGAAAAGACAACCCTCAGAATAGAAGAAAATATTTGCAAACGAAGCAACTGACAAAGGATTAATCTCCAAAATATACAAGCAGTTTATGCAGTTCAATATCAAAAAAACAGCCCAATCAAAAAATGGGTGGAAGACCTAAATACACATTTCTCCAAAGAAGACATACAGATGGCCAACAAACACATGAAAAGATGCTCAGCATAACTAATTGTAATTTCTAAAAATTGGAAAAAACTCAAATGATCATTAACCGGTGAATGGATAAATGGCTAAACAAACCATGGCACATTCATATGGATTACTACTCAGCAAGAAAATGGTGCAAACTACCTATATAAGCAACAACATGAATGAACATCAAATACCTTATGCTAAAGTGAAAGAAGCCAGACTCAAAAGGCTACATACTATATGATTCCATTTATAGAACATTCTGGAAAGGCAAAACTATGGGTCAGAAGCCAGATAAATGCACATAAGTGTTCACCAAAGGCTGGGGGTGGGAAAAGAGAATTGACTACAAAGGGGGAACTTTTTGGAGTAATGGAAATATTCTATATTTTGATTGTGACAGTGCTTACCCAACTACATGCATTTGTCAAAATTCATAGAACTGATTTGAGAACACCCTGAACCAGAAAAGGATGAATTTTACTGTATGTAAATTATACCTTAATCAACCTGACTCAAAACCAAGCAGAGAAAGGGTTAATGAGGCTCTTTTCTATTAGTACTTAAGCAAGCAAATCATTAGCTTGCTGCTTGAGAATCAGGAATGAACCATGCTTTGCCGAGGGACCAAAGAAACTAGTGAAACTCATCTCCCTGCTCATCATTCCCACTGTTTTTATTCTTTACATATTCACCCTGATAAACAGGTAATAAGGCACTTCAAAATCCTTAATCTCTTCAATATATGTAATGAAAAGATAGAATATGTTGCAGGCTTATAAGTTGGTTGAAACAAGGTCTTGATTTTTTGTGTATTATAGTCTGTAGCAAAACCATTAATTGACAAATGCCATTTAGCACCATGTAAGACACTGAACTCTCACTTATTTGCTACTCCGTAGAGTTGCTGTGAAAATCAAAAGGACATACTTGCACTGTATAAACGATAAAGTGCTAAATAAATACAGATGGTCTCATTGCCAAATATTAACAAACTAGACATAACAAACAAACTGGGATTTCAGGCATCAGAGAGTAAACCACAAACAGGGTGTAGGTAAGATGTAAAGGAAAGAATTACTTCACTTGCATCTATGTTTGGTCCCATTGCCATCTTCTTGCCCAGTGAGGAGAATCTGTGGTGTTCAGGGGTTCAGTCCGTAGCATTGATGAATGGCAGGAGTGAAATCTGACGTATTAGAGTGGGAAGCGACTAAATGGAAGGACTGCTATAGGCAAAAGTTGGACTTAGAAGCTCTGAAAGAGTGAATCTTCAACAGGTGTTTTTTTGTTTGTTTTTGTTTGTTTGTTGTTTGTTTTTGGTATTCCAGTCTTTTATGAAGTGGGGGGTCTCATTCTAGATAGAGGTGACCATTGTAGTAAATGTACTGTGTCACCCATACCAAACCATTTCTTCTGATATCTCATCTTCCAGGGTTTTTGCCACTCTAGTTCTCCATACATTTTTGTTCCATAAACAGCCAGCTTTTATGCTCACGTATATTGTCATGAACCCACAGATATCAGTGATAAAGTTTTAGCTATAGTCATAACAGATTTCTCCTTTATAGACATATGCACACAATTAGAGACCTTGCTTTTTTGCCTCTTAGATTGCTATATCATTTGTCTTGGGAGAGGTACTCCATGTTGAGCTCAAGAAATATTTATTCATATGACTTGATTTGATAACTTATTTATGGGGTATTTCAGAATTATGAAATGAATTCTACTAGCAGTATAGCTTTGGCAAGATCACTTAACATGTGTTTTCTTGCTTGCAAAGCGCAGTTAATAGTTTCCACTTTGCTGTTGTCACCATGTTGTTTTAAGAGTCACAATAGCCTAGGCAAGCTTGCAATTTACTCTGAAGTTTTGTGCTGATGTAAGGCAGTAGTATTTTTAAATTTAATTAATTAATTAATTAATTTTATTTATTTATTTTTGGTTGCATTGGGTCTTTGTTGCTGCGCGCAAGCTTTCTCTAGTTGTGGTGAGCGGGGGCTACTCTTCATTGTGGTGCGTGGGCTTCTCATTGCAGTGGCTTGTGGAGCATGGGCTCTAGGCATGCGGGCTTCAGTAGTTGTGGCTCGTGGGCTCTAGAGCACAGGCTCGGTAGTTGTGGTGCACGGGCTCAGTTGCTCTGTGGCATGTGGGATCTTCCCAGACCAGGGATAGAACCCGTGTACCCTGCATTGGCAGGTGGATTCTTAACCACTGTGCCACCAGGGAAGCCCTGCAGTAGTATTATTAACGGCATTCTCTTCATTATTTTTTACTACTCCCAGAAGAGGGTACACTGATAAATTGTATGTTTTTCCAGGGAGAGTCACTCCGGGACAGCTCACGTCCTATATTCATCTCTTCAAGAACAACCTCAAAGCTCTAGGGAATCACTGTGGGGTCCTACAGCTTGGGCTGGCCACTGTTCAAACTCTGAAACACCCGCAGACTGCCAAGTGGGACAACTTTCTGGCTTTTGAAAGGCTCCTTCTCCAGGTATGTTGCTCTGGGAGCTTCTTGGGATATTAATAATTAAAGTTTTTAATTCCAGGAAAAAACTTTGATATTTATTATAATCTTAGTAATAAATCATATTGTTGACATATGCCCTATATCATATTCTCTAAGTGCCCCCAATTTAAAATTCAAGTAGCAGTTTTTTTCTATATCTACTTTTTTTTTTTTTTTTTTCACAGTAATGTCTTTGGCTTCTCATTCAATACTTAGAATGTTTTTTGAGTATTTGACAAAACTTTGAAGATCTCTTTTCAGTTTTATGCCATTTGGACCTTTCTTGATCTTCATGGCATCTTTATTTAATCCTTGCTACTTTTCCTGTAGAATATTGCTACTGTTTACATTTGTTCTGACACTACTTTCTAATCCTTAAACAACATATAGCATGTGGCTTAAAATGATGCTTATAATAGACGAAAGGGAGGCAAACTCCATTTGTAATTTTCTTTTTTTTTTAAGTATTAGCTTATTTATTTATTTATTTGTTTGTTTATTTATTTATTTATTTAGATGCTCCGGGACTTAGTTGTGGAACATGGGATCTTTCTTGCCACATGCAGGATCTTTAGTTGTGGCATGCGGGATCTTTTTTTAGTTGCAGTGTGCGGGATCTTAGTTGCAGCATGTGGGATCTAGTTTCCTTACCAGGGATCGAACTGGGGCCCCCTGCGTTGGGAGAGTGGAGTCGTAACCCAGGACCACCAGGGAAGTCCTCATTTGTAATTTTCGTGAAGAGAGATGTATGTGGAGTAGGACCTTTTCACTATTGATAAAATATTTTCATGGGAAACTTTTTAAGAAGATGTATTTTTAAAAATTATAAAGTATTTCAAACACATAAAATAATATGACAAATATTTATGTGCCTTACACATAGATTCAATATAATTTACTAGTTTTTTATGTTTACTTTATATCCTTTTTCATTAAAGAAATAAAGCTAGACATAAAGTTGAAGCATCTCTGATACTATACCCTTTTCCTGCTCTGATTCTCCTTTTTCCTTTCCCAGGGGTAATCACAAGCTTGATTCCTTGTTTCTATGTTTATTAAATATTTATTTTTCCATGAATAATACAGAGTATTATGCTATGGGTTTTACTTTTTATGTAAGTGATATCACATTATAAGTATCCCTAAACAACCTGCTCTTCCCTCTCAGCATTCTGTTTTAAGATAATCCAAATTGACATGTATAGATTTAATTGTATAAATATTCAATTTATGGAATCCATATTGATGTATAATTAGACTGTTCCATATTTGTGTGTGTGTGTGTGTGTGTGTGTGTGTGTGTGTGTGTGTGTGTGTGTGTGTGGTTTGAAAGAATGAGATGAATATCCTGGAACTTGTCTTCTGGTCCACATGTGAGAGAGTGTCTCTAGGGCATATACCTTGGAGAGGATTGTTATTTTGTTGACCATGAATATTGTTGAGTTTACTAAATATCACCAAACGGATCATCAAAGACTTTGAACTAATTGACCCTTCTGCTAGGACTAGATGACAATTTGTTTCCCAGCATAGTGTCCGGCACTCAGTATTATCAAATTTAAACATTTTTTTATAATGGGTCAATACTATCTTTGTATAAATTTGCATTTCTCTGGCTACTGATGAGGCTGAGCACCTTCTGTAGTATTTATTAGCTATTCCGTTTTCCTCTTCTATCAATTGCTCATTTTTATACTTATTTATCTATTTAGGTAACAGTAAAAACTGTTTTATGTCATGCAAATACTTCTCCCAGACTGTGGTTTGGCTTTTAAATTTAATTCCTATATGTTTTGTTGTACAGAATTTTTGCATTTGATGTACTCTAGTTAATGAATATTGTCTTTTATGGTTTATTCTTATTTGTGTTTTATATTGGAAATCTTTTTGTACCCCTAATTTCTAAATATATTGTTCAGTATTTTCTACTAAAAATTAATTTTTGTTTTTGACATTTGAATTTTTATTTATTTATTTAACATCTTTATTGGAGTATGATTGCTTTACAATGGTGTGTTAGTTTCTGCTTTATAATAAAGTGAATCAGCTATACATATACATATATCCCCATATCTCCTCCCTCTTGCATCTCCCTCCCACCCTTCCTGACATTCAAATTTTTAATCCACCTGGAATTTATCTTTGTTTATGATATTATTGGGATCTCATTTTCTTTTCTTCCGTATGGATAGCCTATTCTCCCCACACCATTTATGAAATATTCCATTGTGCTGTAGATTACTTACCTAACAGTCATTTCCCTCTTTCTCATGTTGGCAGAACACCAGTTTTGTTCCAGTGTCCACTCTTTTCCCACGTGATTCAGGCAAATCCTGATTGGTCTCAGACTATATTAATATTCTCATCTCCCCACCTAATGATTGGTTTAGCAGTTCTAGCCTAATAGAGGCAAAGCGAAGTTTGCTGGAGGTGCTTCTAAGAAAGATTTTCTTTTGCCCTTGTAGAAAAATACATAATGAAGAAACAAACTCCTTTTTCTTGATATATGTTTGTGACACTTTGAGTATTTTGTAATAATGAAGGGAGCTAACTCACTGAGATCCTGCAAAAGATAAACAGAACCTAAATCCTTAAAGATGACTTTGAGTCTTACCTCAGAATATCTTGTTTTGTGAGATGGTGATTCTTCTCATTGTTTAAGCCATTTTAGTTGGTTTTCTGTTATTTGGAACCAAAAGATATTCATCCTTTTCTCAATGATACATGATACACTAAGATCTCATATAAAAATAGGTTTGTATCTCACTTTCTAGTCTGTTTCAGTGGTCAGTTTATCCATCACAGAATTAATACCACAGTGTTAAAATTAACATGTCCAGTTTTATGCCTTTCTCTATAAAAGAAACTTACTAGATTTTTTGTGGGTATTTTAATGATTTTAATACCAGTTGTAAATTGAATTTTCTAATTGCTCATTGCTGGTGTATTGGAATACTCTTGGCTTCACTTTTGACTGGTGATCACTTGTCAAACAACCTTGCATTTTGTATTAATATTTGTTTTCCTATTTCTTGCTGTGATTCATTGGTTGTCCTGTATTTCCTCTGCAGGCAATAATATTATCTGCGAATAATGGCAGTTTTGTTACTTCCTTTCCACACTTCATACCACTTTCTTTTTTAGTGCACTGACCAGGCCTACTAGAACCCTACTCAACAGAGGCAATGAAAATAGGCATTTTCATCTTATTCCTGACTTTAAACACAATGTTCTAAAATTTTACCATTAAATATTATGTTTTGTTTTGTTTTTAATCAGGCTAGGGAAGTTCCTTCTTAATCTTATTTTGCTGAATTGTTGTTGTTGTTATTGCTGTTTTTATCCTGCCTGAGTGTTGAATTTCACTTAATACAGATTCTGAAATTTTTTAGATGAATATATATATATGGTTTTTCTCCCATAATCTGTTAATGTGGTGAATTGTATTTATAGTTTTTAAAATAATCATTACTGCCTTCCTGGGATAAGTTTAACTTGATCACACACACACACACACACACACACACACACACTGCTAGATTTAGTTTACTAATATTTTATTTACACATTTGCATTTATGCTTATAGGTGAGATTACCTTATAATTTTTCTTCATTGTGCTGATGTTGTCCAGTTTCGCAACAAAGCTTACAGTAGTTAGGTAAAATCAGAGTGAGTTTCATGTTTTGTATTCTTTGGAGCTATTTGTATAAGAAAGGAATTTTCAGTTGCTTAAAAGTGAAATATGACTAAATTTAGAATCATGTGGACCTGCTGTGTTGTTGTTAGACTTAGATTTGTACTTCCAATTTGATTACTTAAGTGTTTATAGATCTATTTAATTCTCTGTTTTTTCTTGAGATTATTTTGGTAGTTTATATTCGTTTAAATCCATTCATCTATATTTTCAAATTGGCATAAATTTATTTATAGAATTCTCTTAAAATTTTTAAATCTCTTTTGAATATATAGTTGTAATTCCTATTTTCAATACCTGATATTTTTATTGCAAAATTAACTCTCCTTTTGATTTTGGTTCGTATTAGCAGAATTTTATTAGTCATTCCAAAGAATCAGCTTTAGTTTTTTATTTTGATATATCGTTTGTGCTCTGTTTTATTTTTCATTAATTTGTTTTTATCTTATTTCCTTTCTTCTGTATTCTTTGGTTTTACTCTGTTGTTCTTTTTTTAACTTCCTATTTTCAAATAATGTATTTAAGATTATGAATTTCCCTCTGAATACTGTAGTCCAAAAGTTTGACTGTCTTTGTTGTTATTCAGTTCTAAATATTTCACAATTTCTATTATGATTTTCCCTTTGATTTATTTATTATTTAGATTGCATGATATTTTTTAAGTTTATAAATATATGAGGTCTTTTTTTTTTTTTTTTTTTTGCTGTACACGGGCCTCTCACTGTTGTGGCCTCTCCCATTGTGGAGCGTATGCTCCGGATGCGCAGGCTCAGTGGCCATGGCTCATGGGCCCAGCCGTTCCGAGGCATGTGGGATCTTCCCAGACCGGGGCATGAACCCATGTCCCCTGCATCGGCAGGCGGACTCTCAACCACTGTGCCCCCAGGAAAGCCCTGCTTTTCTTTTAATCAAAGTACGGATTTACTTAATTTTGTGGTAGCCTTTGAAGAATTCTTTTTTTATTACTATATAAAAAAAGAAAGTTTGATTTAGCTTCCTCATCTAAATGGGAATAAAGTGCCTACATCATAGTGTTATTGTCAGGATTGGATGAGACTACATATGTATATCACTAAGTACAGTGCTTGACATATAGTAAATGCTCAATAAATAGTAGTCATTATTCTTTTAGCTGAGCCAAAAATATTGCAAATGCCAGTTTACTTTATGCAAGTAATAGTTCTAATATATTCTCAACTAGATTTTGTTTTTCTAAATTAAAATTTACTGAGGAAGAATGAGACTTACATAGAAAACTGTTACTGTCTTTTTTTTACTTACTATTTGAT